TCCCATGTGTCGCACTAGGTACCTATAAATTTAGTGGTAAAAATGTCCAACCAAAGGTACACTAGTGAAGAGGCCTACAGGATTCTGAGTATGTCAGGTGAGAGCAAAGAGGAAGAGTCCCTGACAGAATCAAGCTCAGAATGCAAACCTGTAGACAGCAGCTGCATTCTGACAGATAGTTCAGACAATGGAGAGGTCCCTGCTAAGGTCAGGTGTAACCAACCCCATTTTCAGGTTGCTGAGATGTTACAAACACATGATGACACTCATATACAGCAGAATGCCAGTACTAGTGCCGCTCTACCTTTTGGTGAACTGGCGAGCACTAGCGGCCTAGTACGTCCTGGTCTTTTTCATACGGGCACAGCAGTATTACTTGGTGACGTGGCATATCCCATAAGTGCAGTACGATGCACAAGTATTGTCCCGCAGTCATCAAGAATTCGCACACAGGCCCGTATAGCCCATAGTTTCCTTCTGGACGTGCTTGCAGATCACGATTGGCAGCCCACAAATTCTGCAGCACCCGTACTTCCCCCATTCACTGCCCAACCTGGAATTCAGGTGGAAAAAGAAAATTTAACTACTTCCCTTGATTTTTTGGAGCTGTTTCTCACAGAAGATCTGTATGCGTTGATTGTGGATCAAAGCAATTTATATGCACTACAGTTTATCGCCACCAACCCAAATTCAAACCTTGCCAGATCATTCACATGGATACCCATTACAGTTTCCGAATTTAAATTTTTTTTGGGCCTTACCCTCAACATGGGCATTACTAAAAAAAGTAAATTGCAGTTGTATTGGTCCACAGACCCAATTCATCATATGCCTGTGTTCTCTGCTGCCATGGCCAGGAATAGATATGAGAATATAATGCATTTTATGTGTTTAAACGACAACACACTCATTCGTCCTCGAGGTGACCCTGAATTTCAGCGGCTCCAGAAAATTTGGCCCTTCGTAAATCACCTTAACCAGAAATTTGCAGATGTCTATACTCCCCAGCAAAACATCTGCGTTGATGAGTCCCTCATTAATTTTTCTGGCCGCCTTGTATTCAAACAATTTATCCCCAGCAAGCGTGCCAGATATGGGGTCAAGGGGCATAAGACCTGTGAAAGGGCAACAGGCTATACATATAAGTTTCGGATTTACGAGGGAAAATATAGTCACGTGGGGATGCCCAGACTACTTGGGGAGCAGTGGCAAGATAGTTTTGGACTTGGTGTCACCCTTTTTCCATATGAGGTACCACTTATACACGAACAATTTTTATTCAAGAGTGCCACTATTTAGACATTTGTACAATCTTGGATTTGGCACATGTGGCACTGTGCGACCTAATTGCCGGGGCTTCCCCAAACAGCTTGTAAATACCTGTTTTAGAAAGGGGGAAAAAGCCTGCTTGAGAAATGAGGAAATGCTTGCAGTGAAGTGGAAGGACAAACGGGATGTTTTTGTCCTGTCTTCCATTCACGCAGATACGACCATCCAAATTACCATGACAGCTGGTGTTGTTGAGAAGCCCCTCTGTGTCCACGATTATAACCTTAACATGGGAGGGGTGGACTTCAATGATGAAGCCGTATTTAGTTTCCTGAAAAGCTAGACGCTGGTACAAAAAAGTGTCTGTTTATTTATTTCAATTGGCTCTGTATAATGCTTTTGTGCTTTACAAAGCAACTGGACATAGTGGATCCTTCCTAAAATTCCAGGAAGAGATCATCACGGCCCTTTTGCATCCAGAAGGTGCTGTGGCCCAAACCCCCAACCTAGAAGCAGATAGCTGGCTGCATGAGAAGCATCTTCTCGATACAAATTCCTGGTACCCCAAACCCAAAGGAAACCCCAAAAAAGATGTGTCTGTAGCAGACATGGAATTAGGCATGACAGCCACTTTTTTTTACCCTCTATCCTGGCCAACCTGGTCTCTGCCTCAAGGACTGCTTCCGCCGCTACCACACACTAGTGGAGTATTAGTATAGGGTTCAGCATGGCACAGTTCAGGGCACATATTTACACAGGGTCTCAAAAGATGTTAGGTAGTCAGGAAACTGGCTATCGCATTTGAAGAGACCCGACAGTCTGTTTTAAAAAGTTAAAGTTTAAAAATAAAAAAAAAATAAAAAAAAATAAAAAGTACAAATTCCCCAAAAAAAATTAAAATTTTAAAAACCAAAAATAGTTAGTTTTTGTTGTTGTTGTCTTTGTTGTTACTGTTCTACTGTTACACTTTTACTGTTTTATTGTTAACCATTGCTGTTTTTTTTTGCAGGAATGCTTTCAGCTGCAGCACCGACCTATTTATTCTGACAGCAACAGGAACTTGCTCTCAGAATATACATAAGTAGGTGTGTGCAGTGCTGTGAGATTTTTCATCCGCAGTTAAAAAAGAGCATATATGCCAAAGCATGGGGTCCTGGGGTGTCCAGTGGGTGGATGGCCCCTATGCTTCGGCACATATATTTTATAATATTTGTTGGCACATTTCATGTGTGCCCACCATTAGAAGTGGGTGGATGCAGGGAGGTATATTCTAATGGTGGGCATACCACACACTTTTTCTTTCATTTTATGGAGCCCACAGGCTGCATAAAAAAAAAAAAGAACATAGCATATACATCCAACAAGAACCAGCGTCGTACTGGTACATCACTGAACTTTGAGTGGTTATACCAGGATGAGCTGCAGGCATCATCATGGTATCGTTTTTTTCAGCCACGATGGACTTTCATGTAAAAGCAATCCTAGTGGCTAATTAGTTGCAGGATTACTTTTACAAGCAGCGGGAGAAGATGCCCCCCCTCCTCCGCTGCCTTCCACAGCCTTCTCGGGCATTCCCGTGCCATCGGGGGAACATATGAATGCAGCTGGTGTTTCTGCCAGCTGATCATAGAGCTGATTGGAGACCACAATGGTGCCAATCATCTCTATAGCCTAAGAAATCGGAAGCTACGAGCATTTTATCACTTCAGTTTCATAGGATATAAACAGCACCATTTGTAAATTGGGAAAGCATCTGATCACACCGATCTTGGTGAGATTAGATAATGTAAGGGCAGAGGAGATATTTACAGTAGAGTCTATAAGACCACAGATTTCTCAAAAAAGAATATGCCCATTGAAGTTATAGGGGGATATTTAAATTCCACGTGATAGCATAAAAAGTGCTAAAAAAAATTAAAGGGATAGTGTACAAATAATTAAAATTTTTTTTAAAATAACTTAAATACAAAAAAAAAATACCCTCACCCCCCACGCTCGCGCACACCTGTGTGGGCAAGAGTTGACCCTGTGCCAGAATGTAAACAGCGGTTGCACCGTGAGGTATCGCCACGAACGTGAGATCAACGGCAGTAATTCTAGCACTAGACCTCCTCTGTAAATCTAAAATGGAAGCTTGTAAAGGCTTTTAAAGCGTTGCCTATGGATATTAAAAATATATGCAGTTTGCCGCCATTGCACAGGGCATGCGCAGTTCTAAAGCATGTTATGTTTGGAATCTATTTACTCAGCATAGCATCATCTTTTATAAGTTACCAAATAATTGGCCAATATATTGTGTTTTTCTACATAAAATTTTTTTAAAAAGTTGTTTTTTTTTAAATTGCGCTTGACAAATTGCTGCGCGAGTACTATGTGACATGAAAAATTGCAGCACCCACCATTTTATTTACTAGAATTGTGAGTATTTTGTAGATCTCGTTTGTTGCCACAAGTTTTTGGAAATTTAAGAAAGAAAACAAAACATATTTTCCTTTTTGTATTTTTATATTTTTGAAACCTTGTGAGAAAAAAGATCTGCAAAATACTCACCATGCCTCTTTTTAAATTCCTTAGGGTGTCTAATTTCCAAAAAGGGGTCATTGTGGGGGGTTTGCTGCTATCCAGGCATTTTAGGGCCTCCAAAACTGTGATAGGTAGTGAGGCTTTCAAAGTGGTCATTAGATTTCAGGCTCCTGTATGTGGCTAGGCTCCCAAAAAGTCTCACATACGTGGTATCCCCATACCCAGTAAAAGTAGCAGAATGTATTTTGGGGTGTAATTCCACATATACCCATGGCTTGTGTGAGGAATATATCATTTAAGTGACAACTTTGTGTAAAAAAAAAAGTTTGTCGTTTTCCAAAAACCTGTCGGAAAAAAAATCTTCCATGGACTCAAGATGCCGCTCAGCAGATAGCTTAGGGCAGTGATGGCGAACCTTTTTGAGCCCGAGTGCCCAAACTGCAACCCAAAACCAACTTATGTCTTTCAAAGTGCCAACACTGCAATGAAACCTGAATATCGAGCTTTTGGTTTAGAAAAAACAACTCGTACAGTAGTGCAAACTAATTAACAGTACAGGGATGACCAGAGACTGCGGACACAGTACAGGGATGACCAGAGATGCGGACACAGTACAGGGATGACCAGAGACTGCGGACACAGTACAGGGATGACCAGAGACTGCGGACAGTACAGGGATGACCAGAGACTGCGGACACAGTACAGGAGATGACCAGAGACTGCGGACACAGTACAGGGATGACCAGTGACTGCGGACAGTACAGGGATGACCAGAGACTGCGGAAAGTACAGGAGATGACCAGAGACTGCGGACAGTACAGGGATGACCAGAGACTGCGGACATAGTACAGGGATGACCAGTGACTGTGGACAGTACAGGGATGACCAGAGACTGCGGACACAGTACAGGGATGACCAGAGACTGCGGACACAGTACAGGGATGACCAGAGACTGCGGACACAGTACAGAAGATGACCAGGGACTGCGGACACAGTACAGGGATGACCAGTGACTGCGGCAGTACAGGGATGCCAGGACTGCGGAAAGTACAGGAGATGACCAGAGACTGCGGACAGTACAGGGATGACCAGAGACTGCGGACATAGTACAGGGATGACCAGTGACTGCGGACAGTACAGGGATGACCAGAGACTGCGGACACAGTACAGGGGACAGAGACTGCGGACAGTACAGGGATGACCAGAGACTGCAGACACAGTACAGGGATGACCAGAGACTGCGGACACAGTACAGGTGACCAGAGACTGCGGACACAGTACAGGAGATGACCAGAGACTGCGGACTGCGGACACAGTACAGGAGGATGACCAGATGACCAGGAGATGACCAGAGACTGCGGACAGCACAGGGATGACCAGAGACTGCGGACACAGTACAGGAATGACCAGAGACTGCGGACAGCACAGGGATGACCAGAGACTGCGGACAGTACAGGAGATGACCAGAGACTGCGGACAGTACAGGAGATGACCAGAGACTGCGGACAGTACAGGGGATGACCAGAGACTGCGGACAGCACAGGGATGACCAGAGACTGCGGACAGCACAGGGATGACCAGAGACTGCGGACAGTACAGAGATGACTGCTGACCTTTGGGGAGGGAGGGGGAGCGGGTACCTGAATTTGACAGGTACCCGCTCTTACTTCCGCAGAGTTTTTTTTTTATCTTACCTATTCCTTTATCCAGCCGCGCACTGTCTTGTCTTCCCGGCTTCTGTAGTGTGGGCGCTCGTCGGACAGCCGGATGCCCAGTGCGCATGCGCGAGAAGCTCTGCGCTTTGTGATTGGTCCGGCGGCTTCTGGGATCTGTCATGTGTCCCAGGTACCGCCTTACCATTCACAAAGAGCACTGCTTCTTGTGCATGCGCACTTGGGACCCGGCTGTCACGCACACTACAGCCGGGAAGACAGCGCGCCGCTGGATTCTCCTGGCGTGCCCACAGATAAGGCTCGGCGTGCCGGCTGTGGCACGCCTGCCACGGGTTCGCCATCACTGGCTTAGGGTGTCTACTTTCCGAAAAGGGGTAATTTGAGGGTGTTTGTACTGTCCTGGTATTTTAGCACCTCAAGAAATGTGATGGGCAGTCAGAAATAAAAGCTGTGTAAATTCCATTATCTATACCATAGTTTGTAACTTTCACACAAAGCAATAAATATACACTTATTGGGATTTTTTTTACCAAAAACAAGTAGCAGAATACATTTTGGCCTAAATTTATGATGAAATTTTAGTTTTTTGGATATTTTTTATGACAGAAATTAGAAACTATCTTTTTTTTCAAACTTTTCGGTCTTTTTTTGTTTATAGTGCAAAAAATAAAAAGCGCACAGGTGATCAAGTACCACCAAAAGAAAACTCAATTTGTGTGAAAGAAAGGACATAAATTTTGTTTGGGTACAGCTTTGCATGACCACGCAATTGTCAGTTAAACTAGTGCAGCGCTGTATAGCAAAAAATGGCATAAATTGCAGTATCTATACCATAGTGTATTCTAAGAATGCAGAAGAAACAAAAGAAGTTAGCAGCTCACAAGATTTCTGGTTGGATCAGCGGGTATTCATTTGCACTAGTTAACCACTTGCCTATTGGACACTTATACTCCCTTCCTGCCCAGGCCAATTTTCAGCTTTCAGTGCTGTTGCACTTTGAATGACAATTGTGCGGTCATGCAACACTGTACCCATATTAATTTATCATTTTTTCACACAAATAGAGCTTTCTTTTGGTGGTATTTAATTACTGCTGTTTCTTTTTTATTTTTTTGCACTATAAACAAATAAATAGCAAAAAATAAAAAGTTTTTCTGTGTTTCTATTATAAAATTTAGCAAACAGGTAATTTTTCCCATTCATTGATGTGCGTTGATGAGGCTGCACTGATAGGCAGCACTGATGGGCACTAATTGGCAGCACTGATGAGCATTGAGGTGTCACGGATAGGCAGTACTGATGGGCACTGATAGGTTGCACTAATGAGCTGGCACTAGTGGGCACTGATGATGCTGCACTTATATGCAGCACTGATGGCACTGCACTGACTGGCGGCACTGACGACACTGCTGGATACTGACTGATGACACTGATGGGAAGCACTGATGGGTGGCACTGATAGGTGGCACTGCTGGGCGACACTGCTGGGCACTGATCATCAGTGCCCTGACTATCAGTGCAGATCTGCTCTGTTACATTTGCTGGTTATGTGCTGCCGATAACCAGCATCTGTATGTACTTTGTGGGGTGCTGTGTCATTGGATAGGATGATCACGTGGTAAAAGACCTTTTGCCTTGTCATGTGATCAACAGTGTCTGTAGGACACAGCGATCACTGACAGCGCTGGGTGCGTGTCGCTGTGGGCACAAAGGGGCGCATTTTGGGAGAACATCATATGACGCCCTCCCAGAACTGGACAACCGCGCTCTAACCGTCTTTCGGCTATAGCGTGGTTGTAAAGTTGTTAAACAGATATAGCAAAATGCTTTCAACTTTATATTTACAGTATATATTTACAGTATAACTTTTGAATAGAGTGGAGAGGGATCAGAACACCTGTCAGGTTGTAATTGCTGTCTGTGTCCCCATTAGGGAGATTCATCCTCTCTATTTGTCCTGTTTACCATTATCACTGAAAGTAAAAAAAAATCTCAAATTTTGAGTTGTCCCCCAAAAAGTATTAGAGGGGAAATCTTCCAATGGGGACACTAGTTCTGTTGACCTGGGGGTCCCCAAGGCATTCCCTTAATATACAGGGGTTTTCTCTCACTTCCTGTTTGGCTATGGGACAGGAAGTGAAGGGAAATCTCCACAATGGGAAACAAATAGCAAAAAATAAATCTACTTTAAATCACAAAAAGGAGCAAATATGAGAAGTTTATTTTTAGGATTTAAATACATTTTAACTTTTCTCACCGTCTTCCATACTTGGGCTAAGATCACACTAGCTTTGTCAGCAGGCGTTAGACAGGTGTTTGGGAAGCGTTTTTAATGCTCCTTAAATGCCTATGAAAATTCTACACATGGCAGCACACAGTGCTGTTCACACTGAATGAGATAGCGTCATAGCAAAATTGACGCCTCATGTTGAGTCAGGAGGAGTTGAAGCCTCCCATTCAAGTCAATGGTGACGCTTCTCAAATGCGTCAATTTTGCCGCGACGCTAATGCTTCAGTGTGAACAGCACTGTGTGCTGCCATGTGTAGAATTTTCAAAGGCATTTGAGGAGCGTTAAAAACGCTTTCCAAATGCCTGTCTAACGCCTGCTAACAAAGCTAGTGTGAACGTAGCCTTAAACGTCATTATAGGCATTTGTGGTGAGGTTTTAACACTTGGCAAACGCCTCAAAAACGCACATAGGGCATTTGGGGAGCGTTTGAGGATCGTTAAAAATGCTATAGGGGCGTTTGGCAAGAGTTAGAAATTAGTCAAGTGTGAACAAGCCCTTAGAAGAATGCCAAACCTCCAGCTGCCAAACACTGTGTCTTGGTCATTTTTAACATTTCACACTTTTTGTATATGTTGCTCTACTAAAAGCAAGCAGTTTCACAGATTTGCCCATTACACACACTTGCCAGTGATGATGAGCACTCCATTTTTCAGAGGTGCAAACACCATATCTGTTCCACCAACGTAGGGCCAGTCTGCAGCGTGCGTGTACAACCTTTTTAACATTTAGTAGTTTAATATCAGACGCTTAGTTCTCCAGAACATTCCACCATAATTCCAGCAAGAGCAATAACCTGGAGTGTAAAGATCTAGATGTCACAAAACGAACGTTCCTCCTAGTGCCCTGTGCTTGTCAGGCTATATGGATACACTACATTGTAGGATGTGGGAGAAGAGTATACGTAGCAGTAAAATGCAGTTTTCAATGCATCCTGAATTTTCGATTTGGGTCCAGAATTATCATTTTGGTGAAATGCTAGTAATTAGTACAGTATATATAGTAATATATATCTATCTATCAAGTGACCAGGATCATGCATGCTCAGAAAGAAATACATTACAACACAATACATTACATCACTTCTGAAGTTGTATTATGTATTATGAGAATTTTCATAACTCTAGTAACATCTTAATTTTTGATATGAGACTACCATGCAAAAAAAAGCAAAACAGACAATCATTAGTCCAATATTCTCATCATGTGTACTTGGCTTAAGGCACTAGGTGATTCTGATTACCACCTGTGCAATTCATATGTGGTTGGTTGTTAAAGGTTGGAGTGACAACCCTATTGGTGGGCCATTCCCTTTAAGTTTTAAGATATACATGTGAACAGGACAATTGTAAATTATTGGAACAAAGTGTGCTATTGTCTTCTTCTTGTGTACAGTTGATAGAGGAAACTTATTTGCTCATTACATATACATGCTCTGCATTCATCCTCTTGACTCTATGGTCTGCTGGATTGAAAACAAAAGACTCTCCTCAGGCTCCAATGGTTTGAAACACCTAGAATGCACCTTGTATATTGAGACAGAAATCACCTTTTCTTAAACTGTATGGGGTTTATTTACTAAAGCTGAAAAGTGCAAAATCACACTCATTTATGCATAGAAACCAATCAGCTTCCAGGTTTTATTGCAAAAGCTTCACTGAACAAGCTGAAGTTAGAAGCTGATTGGTTTCTATGAAGTAGTGAGTCTGATTTTGCACTTTCCGGCTTTAGTGAATAATCCCCTGTGCGCGTGTTCTGTCTGTATGAACATACTAGATTTGACATGATGCTGTCTGCTATTGCTAGATGATGTTGTGCTTTTGATGAATTATCAATAATTCATTCATTGGTGCCTCCAAAAATATGTTCTGCCAGGTAACACCTGGACAATTAATTCAGTCAGCTAAAGGTGCTTGCAACTATAACATTAATTTATAAAATAATTTTACTGACTTAATAAGTCTGAGTAATTTAAAGCCAACCAAAATCCTTTAAAAATGCAGATTAGATCAGTGGAAAATATGGACTACGGGTTATGAAATAAATAATTATTTATTTACAATACGTCACAGCGCTATATAAATCCTATATAATGAATAAAAATCAATAACTAATTTCTCCCCATAGACAAAAAAACCATTAATATCTAACTATCAGACAATAGTCTGTGTTTTACGGGACTTCAGCGATTGTTCCCCTGCAGAAGGAATAAGCATCAAAATACACAAAACCTTATGCCAATATGGCCCAAGAACCAAATAAGAATCATTTTAATACTAGAACTAAACTATATAAAGGTGGGTGGTTATTTAGGGACACAATGACATTGACAATGACATTACTACACAAAATGACAACTTATTAATTTGGTCAATCAGAACTACCAAAATAGAGATTATAGTTACCCTCCAATTCTCAGGCAAAGCAAAAGATGGCTGGCGACTGATGGGTGGAGTTGAGCTCTCACAATATGGCATCTGGACAGGCTGGAGTTGTGTGCAGATGGATAGTCAGATGGTAGGTTGTGTGTGTCCTGATGTAATGATGATGATATGAAATGTCCTCTGATGATATGAGTGTGATCTCAATGTGATAATATGATTGTCCTGCTAATGTCATATCTGAATGTGATCCTGATGCGATTC